CACATATCTTAAAAAATATATTGAATTTAAGGAATAATAAAATGCCATATACGTTTTTACATTGTATTAAAGAAACCATTACCAAGACGATGTGTGGCTCTGGTTTTGATACTTGAAAGAGGTTGAGAACAAATTCTAAAACATGTAGAAAAAGACATAAGGAATATTCAAGAGCTAACAAAACTGCTGTGTGACGTGAGAATAAAGGAGCTCAGGGTTTTTTGGTTTTACTTATGCAGAAGATGGGTAAGATACAGCTTGATCGCAGTTTCAAAGCAGGAAATTTCTGCTAATAGAAAGTTATTTAGTTTAGCATAGAAAGGAATAATGAGATCCAAAGGCTTGAAACTGAAGCCAAATGTATTGATTCTACATATAGCATGACATTCTTAATAGTGAGGATAACTAAACGCTGCAGCAATATACTTCAGAAATCATGGGTTCTCTGCTGTTTGAAATGTTTAAATGAAGATAAAATATCTCATGGAAAGAGAAAGAAAACCTCAGTTTGAAGCCCATTTGAAGTACAAAACCTAGGACTCTGGCATTAATTTGTACCAGAATATGCACTTTCCTTAGTAGACAGAAAGTTAATGTCTATGAGACTTACAGAAATTCTGCGAAGGACCTGTAAAACTATGTATTCCAGGAACTGAAAGTAGCTGTGTTCAGAACTGCAGATCTGGGTGATGAAGATGATGTTTTTGTAATTGTTATCTTTTGACAAAATCCATCCTGTGACACAGATACAACTGACTAGCCTGGTTGTTTTAGTTGGTTAGTGGTATGGTTGAATCCTTTGAGCATTCTGTTACTTAATTATTTATTTAAATACATTGCTGCTTTTTAAACTGATAAATCACTCAACTCGGTGGAATAGATCTTCTGTGAGAAAAAGCTGTCCTATATTCAAGTTACACGCTAAATCAATTTTCCAGTTGGTTTATATAACGGAGTAACACCAGCCCACAAGCATCTGCTCTTAGGGTGCTGCATATTCCTACTCAATCATGTACCAGTCAGTGTGGATCAGATGACAGGACTCCTTCTAGCAGCAATGCTACTTCTGCAGCACCCCACAATTCCCAAATGTTTTAAAGGGGAGGCTATAAACGGGGTTGCCCATTTCTATGTGTGTCTTTTAATAAAACAGTGGATGTGAGACCATGGTTTCTGCTTAATAATCATAACCCCTTACTTCAGTGTTCATTTCTGTACATAGATTGTTATTAGTCATGGGAGAAGTTAGTTAAGTAGTCGGAAAAAATTAGAGTTGCTTATTTACATAGCTTGGTGTCATTTTCTTCTACAGAAGAGTTTTGGTTTTGAAAAAGGTGCCATATGTAATGTGACAGTTTTTACTTGACAGGGGATATTTGTTAGCTGCTTGGCATGCCTTGGCAGGAGGTCCTTTATGATACCGTGTCTTCAGTTCCTCTGCCTTGCAAGGAGGAACGAACCAGACTGCAGTCCTGGTTTTCAGATTAAGTCTTTTTGCAATAACACTTGGCTCTGACACTGCTAAAGAATCACCCATCTTAATGAAGAAAAACATGTCTTACCTCTGAACGTTCTGGTCCTAAGAAGTTAAATACCTGCTGCAGGTAACAGTTGGTCTCAACTCCAGGAGCCAGTTCTAAACTATCTGCACTTTTGGTTCTCAGTGAACACACAAGACTTTAAAGCCTTTAATTTCATTAGTACTAGCCTCTGAGAAGAACGAGAGACATCACATCTGTGTGTATCATATATTAAAAATGAGTCATGGAATAAGAAAGTTGTGGGATGCTGTGGAAAGTACGATCATGCTTAGGAGAAGCTTTGCCCATTGATACCTCTCCTGTGTATGTAATTATTCACGGGCAACTTTAGTTTCCAGTAAAACATATATGCATGTGCTCTGACATAAGGCATTCAAGATACAGTGAGTATGGATATAACATGAGAATATCACATAAATACTAACTGATCTTTATACAAGTGACCAGAAGGATTTGGAGAGAAATTCTGAATCAGGTTGTAATATTGGGAAATGGAAATGTTCTTCAACTTGTGATGGAATGGCCCAAGACATGAGAGTGTAAATTCTTTGTGTATAATGTATCTTGGAAGCTGAATTCAAGTACTTAAAATTAGGCATCCTAACAACTGATTTTTTTCTGCCCCCCCCAATAACAATAAGCTTTGGCATAACAGGATGTTGAAATACTCTGTGTAAAACTCTTGCCTACAAGTGAATACTGAGCAAAGTATCCTATTTCACACATACAGATCTTAAAACCAGGATTAAATGTTGGTTTCAGAAAGAACATTTCTCTGTTAGAATGTTATTACTGTCACACTTTCACTGCTTGATGCACATAATTCTGATTCTACTTGTTTCAGCCTGGATCCCAACAGACATCCAGACTTAGTTTTCATCTTTTTCCCTTTTATGTATAAATTAGGATAATCTGGCATGTCTGTGAAGGCCCCTGGGAGATCCAACATTCTGATAAGAGAGAGAAGATAGTGACTGGCTTTTATCCTTGAAACCCATGATGTCTACTTAGATGTATCTGTATTAGTCTGTATTAGTAGATTCAGATGTATCTGTATTAGTCCTCCCTCTTAACATCTTCAGAGATATTCCACTCTCCCTGATAGCAGCGTCATTATTTAATAAAAAAGCAAAAGTAAAATAATAAATGCAGACCAAAGCCTGTACTATAGCTACTTCTGCTGTATGTCCTAGTAGAGTACACTGGTATGAAAAGATTTGATGAGATAAGTTAGTACTCCTCCATGCTTGGCAGCAAAGCACAGAAGTTGCAGAAGACGGGCTGAAGTGCCAAGAACACGTGCCAAGTCATCATATCTCTTCAGCTCCTTCTGCTGGACCTCACCACAGCTCCCAGAATGTTTGAAAACCACCATCAGTCAGTGATAATGCTGCTATTTAAGCATCAGTCCTTACTTCAGGGCAATTGGCCAGACTAAAGCAGATGGCACAATTTCTCTCTCATTTTAGTAATTTGTGAAGTATTTCAGGGTGAACACTTATGCAAATGAATGTGAATTATTGGAGAGTGCTTTGTTTGTTTGGGATACGCCAAATGAAATAATCTACTTTGTTAGGTTGTTTCCTAGAAAACTGACTTAGCATGATACTGGTGCTGAAGGGTGACAGCCGCTTAATCAGGGCGATGCTAGTGTAATTTTCATTAAGGACAATCATTAGCTAGTGCCATGTATTTATACTGAATATAAAGCTCAAGTTAAAGGGAAAACACTTATCTGTTAAAACTTCCACTTCGTTTGAAATCCCCGGCGGGTTGGTGGGTGGGTTGGTTGGTTTTGGCTCCAGTCTTGCTTCCTCTCACCTTACAACACATAGTGGGGAACAATATAAAGAAAGAGTGCCACGAGCAGTCATTCAAAATGGACCAAAGGATTACCATCAACCCTTAAAATGTATCCTGGCCTACCAGGTATCTTTAGTGTCTATTTAGCGTTTTAAATAGGATTTTTAAATGATGCACAGTTTTTTATTATTTTATTGGTTATGATTGTATTCAGGACTACAGTTTGAGAACAAGTGGCAGAGTTACTTAGTTTTTTTCTCTACCTTGCTGTCCTATGATGTAGTTATGATGGTTTTCTATACAGTTTTTCATCTGTAGATACCAGTACGCTGCGATCACTGTCAAAGGAGATATTGTATTCTTTTGTTAAAACCCTATCTATTTCCAGTTTACAGGTAGGGAAATGAAGGCACAGGGAAGAAAAGATACTTTTTTTTTTTTTCCCCCCCTAAGGTTATCCAGTAGACCAGTTGGCAAAGTCAGAAGTAGAGCTCAGGTCTCTCAAGGTCAGTGGTCTCCATTAAACTGCTTGTTTAACAATTGGAAAAGTAAGTACTTAATACTTTAAAGTTTTAACCCTCAAATTTGCTAATCTATGGACTTCACTTCCCCGAGGCCAATTTTAGAATAGTTTACTGCAACTCTCTTCACCTGTGAAAGGGGAAGTAAAGATTCTGACATTTGCCTGGAGTATAGGGAGACAGTTGGAATATTTGTTCAGGATTGTCAAATATGCTAATATGATCATATATAACAAGTAGGTAGGACTTTATGTTGTAAAATCTTGTTTGTGATCATAATCTTGATGTTTTGAATACATCTGGAGGCGTTTCACCTGTTTCATACAACATGGTTGTTAAGAATATCTTCCATATTCCTCTTTTGTTTTACTTTTTATCTTCAGTAATTTTCTGGAACAGCAGTTTCTTGTTAAAGTCTCTGACTCAGATGGGAAAGGTCACCATCTAAGCTAGGGAGATGGCAATTCAGCGTGCAGAGAAAAAGACCCAAAGAGAACAGACAGAAAGCTACATTCGTGATGTATCTGGACAACAAGATATTGCTGCAAAGCAGCATGTCGATGTGGATTCCAAGTGAACTGGCTGGGTTGACAGAAGCAGTGTAACTGTGGTTTCGCTCAGACTGGGGATTGGGCTAGGGAATGTAGTTCGTAGCTAGACTTGGGTAGCTCTGCATGGCACTGCGTTGTACTTGTGTTGATGAGACAGAGAGCAATAGTTACATGTGAGCTTTTATGTAAGCGTGAAATGACTCACTCTAAAAAGCATTTTCTCAGAATTAAAAGAGAAAGCCTGCTACAGAACTGTGTTACTGACCTTAGTCCTAAATTATTAATTTTATAATCTCTTGATAAGTACATGAATTTTTGTGTTAATTCATGTACTTTATTTCACAGGCAAAAAAACCAGGCAAGAACAGATCGCTCACAATTGCATGTGATTCAGCCTGATGATGTTGGTACTTTAATTAGAACGGTGGAAAGTCAGCATGAATTCTTTTGTTTTACAGAAAGCAAGAAGAATTGAGGTTAATTAAAGGTTAATTAGAGTTTAATTGGTAGTTGTTTGTTTTTTTTTTCCTCTTTACTTCTGGTGATAACAGGAATGTTAGAATCCTTGACTTTGATGGCAACAGATTGGGCAGGCCTGGTGTTGATTGCTACTGCCAACATGAAAGTGGTGCTGCAGTCCTGCAGCTCCAGTTCTTAATCAATGAGGTAAGGACATATTTACTCAGATTCATCCGTATAAATTTAGTTGAATAAGTCAATTTGTATATTGTAATTGAGTGATATGACTTTTCACATTGACAAATTGTGCCAGTAAGTAAATGGCCTACATCCAGAGGACGTTCACCATACAGTCTTTTAAAAGACTATTTATGGGGCTGCACACGGGGAAAAGTATTACCTTCATATACATCAGTATAAAGTACTGAACAAAAGGCAGTCAATATATGAATGTGTGCAGGTAGATGTAAAATCCATTAAATTGCTAAATATGCTGCACAGTCCTGTCTCAAATAGAAATTAATAAATGAGCTAAATCTTTCTATGGAAAGATATTGATGGTTATTGGCTGAAAGCTCAATAGTTGGGGATATGCTACTACTTGAAGCAAGGAAAAGCAGTTGTAGGGGTCATCAATCAAACCAGCATGCTTAGTCTTTGTGAAAGGTTTGTCAAAATCAAGTTTAGATGACATGAAGAAATGGTGACAGATTATAGCTCACTCTGTGCAGATGATCTCTGGAGATGGTAATAGGCAAGAAGACTTTCTGGAGCATATAAATCTGTTTTTTGGTTTTTTTTTTTTTTTTCTAGAACATCATAACTTGGCCAAATTACAAGCTAGTCGTAGTTCAGTTTTAATTAGTTTTCTCCCGTGATATAAGGAAACACTTTTGACAGTTTCAAGTCTTCTCGAATGATCTTGGGAAATGGTAAAAGGGAAAAAAACTTTTTGGAGAAATTAAATTTTTTTTTTGGTTTTTTTTTTTTTTTTCTAGAACATCATAACTTGGCCAAATTACAAGCTAGTCGTAGTTCAGTTTTAATTAGTTTTCTCCCGTGATATAAGGAAACACTTTTGACAGTTTCAAGTCTTCTTTCTAAGCATGGAGATCTTAGAGCTCCTCGAGGAAAGAGTTTTAGTTTTGTTGTTTTTTAAACCTGGGAAATATTTTTTTTTTTTCCTACACCTGTTTGGAGAAAGTACCTGAACCACAGAAACTGAGGAGGGGGAAATGAAACTTTAGAAACAATCAGTCCCGTGGAATTCTTTAGAGGAAGGCAGGGATGAAAACAGGGAGGCTAAGGTTTGAATCAATGTTCTTTCTTTTCATTAGACGACCAGCAGAACCCCTAATACATAGGATTAATTTGATTTCTGTGGTGGAGATTCTCTCTGACATTGGTCCAAGCTCTTTGGGAGATGAGAATTAAAGCATGGATTACAATGTATTAGAGAAGTCTCACCTTCATAAATTTCATTTGCATATGTCAACATTGAAAAGAACAGTTGCTACCATTAGGAAGGAAATCCAAGAAGCAAAAAGAGAAGTTTATTGGTCAGTCATAGTTGGTATGAAGTGATCTTTCAGTTACATCCTCACCTTTCCTCAAAATAACGCACTGCCTTCTGTTTGGGCAATATCTAGTGCCTCTCTGCCACAGTTATACACAGGGATAGATCCTTTGTACTAGACCTGATCTGAGGTGTAAATGTAGTAAACCACTGCAGCAGCAGTAGAGGGCTTCCTCTGCAGTCCATATTCTCATGGCGTCACTGTTCCATGGTGAGGAGAAAGATAGTAGGAAGGAGGTAGAATAAGTTCACTTCAAGCTGTCCAGGCAGATAGAGGTCTGGACCTTGGAAGATGTCCATTTTTGGGGCACCAGAAGCAGAACTGGTCTTCAGAGTATTTCTGATCTGTGATACTCTGTCCTTTTGTCTACATCTATTAGTACTTCCTAGGTCCTCTCCCCCTGCTACCCGTCCCTACTTTCCTATCTGCGTTTTCTTTTCACAGTTCCGGTTTTGAATTTCATGTTGTTGGTATGACCACTAAACTGTGCTTGGCACTGTCGCTTGTGTGTATGTGTGCGCGCTAATTCCTTTTTCCTTTAGTTATATCCTTCACGCTCACCTTTTTAAGTAAGTGTTGTCTGTCCTCCTTTTCCTTCATCTCTATGCTTATGTGGAAATACATGAGAGTTCACGTGTGTAATCTTTGTACAAAGCTTTAATTTGCATTTTAAATTGATGGAGTTTTAATTTAACTTTGGCTGGTCTTGTACTAATTTAAAATATTTACATTTACCAGATCAATTCAAATTGACTATTATTTATGGTAGAATATATTTTTTCTAGAAGAAATTAACTGTTTTTCATAAACAATATTGTTTTCTACGGGTAGATCATTAACAGTGAGGATCACTTAAGAATAAGACAGAATCCGCAGAAAAGTAATATGTTGTGCTGTATTTTGTGTCTGTTCTAGGGTGCTTTGGTCAGTGCAAGTGCAGATGATGCACTTCATTTGTGGAATCTCCGACAGAAGCGACCAGCTATCCTACATTCTCTGAAATTTAACAGAGAAAGGTAAGACTATATGACACAAAAAAAATCTCATTAAAAAAACCCACCAAACTTACTTTCTGGATTTCTAATAATACATGCTTACTAGTTTGCCTTTCTATAGGGGGATATAGTTTTGCCTTGAAATGTTTTCTTCCATTGTTTGAGTCTTGTGTCCACAGAACAAAAAAATCACTTTCTCTTTCTGCAGGCTTCTCGGAACTAGAATTTTTTTTTTTGTTTTTTGTCAAAATGCTTCTCGTTTTACCTTCTGTTTCCATGAACCAGTGTGAACAGTAGTGTGTTTGTTTTTCTTAAGACCAGACACAAGCACTGTGATCCTTTAGGCTGATGTGTTGTTCAGTACTAGCCAGAGTACCTCAGCTGGCTATATCAGGGAAATAATTCTTTTCTCTAACTTGAAAGGCTTTTATTTTTGTAAAATACTGGAAGTTTAGCAGAAATAAATTGTGAATTTGGGAAACTATGGTAAATGTCAAATGAATCAGAGACTGTTTTTCTAAATTTATCAGTACCAAATTGTAGAAATCCCTACTGAAAATAGATTAAGTGAGTGGTTGTAATTTTCAAACTCAAACAGAAGCTGAGCACTTTACTTGTCTGACTAAATACAGATTAAAACCTGCTACAGTGTTATGGCGCTTGAATGCTACATTTCTATTAGTATTTAGAAGAAGTTCCATGTTTCTATTAAGGAATTAGGTCAGTAGTCAGAAGAACAAGCTTCAGTGCGTAAATGAAGCAGTTGGTTTTTTGTGAGTCCTTGAGCAATGCAGTTATTCTGTACTTCACCTTTGGCATGGATTTTTTTTGAAAGTATAATACATAGTATGGTTTTGACTGGAAGTTTAAGTGATATTGTAATTCTCTTAGTATATACATTCAATGTTTCTGGAGGTGCAGCAACTTCTTTTAGATATTTATATATTTGCTTGTGCAGTGGTGAAAGCTATCAGTATTTTACCAGAGCTATGAAGTAAATAGGCTCATCAAAGCTTTAGGTGCTGCAAATCTGAAAATTATTATGGAAATAGACTTTTTCTTTGTTGTTCATTATTCAGATACATATCATGTTTGCACTTAAATGTCACCAAGTTGCAAGTTTTGTTGTGGGAAGTACTACATATAATATACATCCTAATTCCAAGGAGTTTATAACTTCTAGCAAAAGTATATCAAGTGGTTTGGGACTGCATGAGGGAAGATGAAAAAGAAAAATTATATGTACATTTGCTAGGTGCTTCTGGACAGTAAGTCATCTTTTTACATATGTTGAAATATTTGAATCTTGGTATTCTCATCAAGTAGGTACATTATCCACAATGTGTCAGTGATAAATCTAAATATTGTAGAAGTTGTTCCAGTACATCTAGGTCTAGCTCTCCCAGCCAGCAACCTTCCATACAACCTAAGGAATCAATACTTACAAGAATGCGGCGTCTGTTCACCTGTCATTTCTCTTCAGAGAGACTAGCATGGTATCTTGGTCAGAATTTTATCAGAATTTCTTGATAAAATAAACTCACACACGTGTGGGCTTTGCTAAGAGCAAAACATTTGTCATCACATTTACCTAATTTTGTTTTTTTTGCTTCCGACAGCCTAAAACGTTGGGTAAAATATTTGGAAGCAAGTTTTTTGGAATACTGGAAACCTTTACATAAAAAAAACAACTGTGTAATGACATTTTTGAACTGAGGTTTAAAAAGAATCTGAGGATGTAGTTATTTGTAACAAATGCATAGCTACCTATACTGCCTTTTATCAAAGTCTAGTAAGTTGTGAGTAAAAAAAAATACTGTTAGTTCTTTTATGCCTATTTTAAGTAACTGGTACAATCACTGCCATTTAAATAATTTTTATTAGCACATCAAAGGCTATGAGAAAAACATCCTGATACATTGCTATATAACATTGTCAAAGAAGTAAGTCCAGTTTTAAATTTAAAAAGAGTTTTCAATAAGTGTGAAGAAATGACTTTGTAGGCAGTTCTTTTCTTCTCAGGGTTCTCTAGCACTGCCCTAAGTTTTTGGGTTTTTGTATTCAAGCACTTGGCTCCAGAATGAAATATCTTCATTTTTATTATATTTTCTTTTAACATACATATCAATTAATTTCAAATCATCTAACTTTCAAATTTCTAAGCTTGATTACACATTTAGTATGTAAAATTCAACATAAGCCTCTGGGCAAGTAGCAAAAGGTAAGGCTTTTAGGGTTTTACCCTCATTAACCCTCTCATTAATTTGGAACATTTCTCTGTATACATGCCTAGCAGAGTTAAGTCTGAAAGAGAGCTTCCATTTTTTTTCTGAATATATTTTTTGTGTTAGAGCACAGAAGTTATGAATTATGTGATGCTCAGAGAACCAGCAAATAATGGTTGCCTTAGCTATAAGAAATTTATGGCAAAATGGATATAAGGGGAATTTGGGAGGCTGACAAAGCAATAAGATCAAAATTGATTTTCTTCAAGAAATTGAAAGGTCTGTCTTCCGAAAATTAATGTCTTCTTCACTGTTGGAACAGTTAAAAAAATTTTATTTTCATCCTCTCCTCTCCTCTTGCAGGGGGAGGTTAAGGGGAGGCAAGATTCATACTGAAGAGAGAAAGATTTTTTCTTTCGTCTTGTTTTAAGTTTGTGACCCAATGAATGAGCTTGTTTAGGTATTTCTTAAATGGGGAGAAATGCTTGTTGGCAGAGAGTAGGTTTTAAAATACTGATGTATGTTTTCAGGAAGCAGTAAGGTATTGAAAAAGGCCGTACAGAGAAGCATTTAGACAGTCAAAGGCTAGTTCTTAAAAGAACACTGTTTATAACTTAATTTCATTTTAGATTTAGACAGCTTTTACAGAGCCAAACATGTAATTGTTCAGATGCAGTTTACCTATGAAAACTGAGCATGTTGCTGCTTCAGATTTTCCTATTTGCATGTCTCTCTTGAGGATTTATAAAAATTGTAATTTTATTCATACAGTATATTTGTCTCCTTGATGTGCAGTTTCATTTAGATTTTTTTTTTTCTGAACAATTGGCATATTTACTTCATGAAGTGATGCAATATAAAGCACTTTTACTTAGAATTCTAATATTTCATCTGCTTGACATGAGGAAGATCATTGTATTAGTCCAGATTCTTGATTAATTTGACTTCAATTAATTCACTTTCATGTAGAATGAGTTTATTCTGTGTTTTTAAAATATTTGATGCATGAACCGTACAGCTGTTAGATTCTGTTAGACGGATGAACGCTACTTAAGTCTTTGGCTATTATTTCGTGCGGCAGTCTTCATATTGTTGAACTGTTTAATTTGCAATTTGCTTCTGTTTCTTGACATTTAAGAATGCAGGATAATGGACTAAAATCTGCTCTTAGCAGTGTTTATGAATATGTTTATGCAACTGCTTGAGTCAAATTTCCCCAAGCATATACATATATTCCCTCCCACAAAAGTCAAAACCATGTTTGTCCTTTTCTTCAGATGTTGTTACATAGATGTAAAGAGCAAAGAACTCTTAAATACAAACACAAATCTTGTTTGTAAATAGATTTGCAGCACACTGGTTATCTTTCACTTATGTAGCATTCAGTAATTAAGACACTGAATGGTTTATGAATAATACTTCACTAACAAAATGCACTTTTGTAGCCATTAAGTCATAGTTTGCAACCTCTCTAGATTTATTTTTTTCTTCTTCTGACCTATTGTTAAACTAATTTGCCTTTTGTGAGGGATTTTATATGGTATGTTCTTGGTGACAAGCTGGCTCCTAGAATGTTGTAGCACTGCGCAAATGATTTTGGGATATGCTGATGCAACATTAACAATGTTAACTTGTCTCTGATAATTCACTGCGGCTTTACTAAGTGTCTCTTTGGAGCAAGTGCAGAAGGAACACTGAAGAATGAGACATAATGGCAAACTGATATTTTTGGTCTACAGTGTAATGCCCAGGACTTTTTAGCAAATTATATGTTTTTGCCCTGTATCAAAATATAACATTATCATCTTAAATGTCTATTTTCAGAATTGGAATGTAATACAATGCATTAAGAACCTTCAAGAAAATATAAATGTAAGCAATGTGTTTCAGTGCTTGGCCCCATACCCAGAGCTCGAACGATAACATGGTTACTCAAAGACATGCTTGACAGTAGCTTATGGTTGATAATATACGATTTACTGTTCCATTTACAAAGAGGAAGCACAGGTACAACTTTTTAATCTCTGGAAACACTCCATAAGAATCTCTTCAGTACTTTTGAAGGATAACATTATGGTGATGTTCCTTACGTTAGTCCCTCCTTTTCCTTCTCTGATGTCATAGGAGATGCCAGATTCATCTTCAGTAGACATTTTAGGCAAAATAAATAACTTGGCTACTGGAACTAGACACTGTCTCCATCTGCTGTAAAGAACATTAGGAACAAGCTAAACCACTGAAAGCTATTATAGGCCTTATATATTTTTTTTTTTTTAATATAGTCAGAGCAGACTTAAGCAAGTATAGCTTTAAATATACAACAGCTGTACATAGTTTTCCTGTTTAAGATTAGTGCAACTGGGATAACAAAGCCCAGCAGATTAAAGTGTGAAATCCAGGCCCTTTAAGCCTGCGTGCATTAGTTTCATGTACAAACTCGGTTCATCTCCTGTTACTCTAAAGCTGAGCTAGTTCTGTTGTGCTGACTGACATGGGGGATAGCCCTCCTCCTTTTCTTCTTTTAGCCAGTGGTGACTGGTGTTACACGTGGGCCGACAGCACTACGAGAGTTTATCCACTGACTTATACCTGGCATACGTGAACACAGTGTACCTGTTCTGTTGGGTCTTTAAATCGATCTGCATGCACTGATGCCATAACAGTGCAAAATCTGTATAACTGGCTTTGGGGGCTGTGATCTGTAACACTTTCTTCAGTGTTAAGGGTATGCTGGCACAGAGGAAGAGGAGCCTTTTAAGTGGGTGACCTTTAGAGCAATGATCTCAGTTAGCTCTA